TTTTGGGATAAACATTTAGTTGTAATGTTTAAAAATTGATTATGGTTGTATTTAATGCTTTGAATTATCAAAGCTTGGATGACAATGGGGGCTTCCTTTTATAAGCCTCTTAAATGCTGATTGATGCTCTATTTATGTTGATGTCAAGAATTGAATGCTTGTTTTTTTTAAAAGGTGGAGGGAATTTTAAACCCTCCCAAAATTTCAAAATGTTTAAAATTTTGACAAAAAAAGAGAGGGAATCTGATATCCTACCAAGGGAATCAGATTTTCCCACTAAAGCACATGGGGGGGCCATTTTTTCTTTCTCCTCCAAATTTAATTAATTCCATCTAACTACACCTTAATCATTGCCCTCCATTTTTTGCATTGGCAACCGTGAACTCACTCAAAGTTGCACAAAATAATTAACGGAGGTAGTATTAGTTATATATTAAACTTGAGTAGCCCTGGTTACCTTTATCACAACTTATCTGAAATTATTTTTCCTCAACTTATCTTATCTGAACTTATTGAACTTATTAATTCTTATCTAAACTTATCAACCCTTAAATAAGTGGAAATAAGGTGAACAAAACCGGCCTAATTAATTAAGAATACAACTGAAATCGGATCAAAGTAAGGGAGTAGAGATGATTATTGGAGAGACAAGAAAATAGATTCAAGGAGTAAATTAGCACACAGTACTTGCTTGTATCACAAGAAGCAGTTAATTAAAAAAAAATCACCGATAATCCCAACTGTGGTAGCAGCTAATGATTGGAAAAGCTTATTGTCAGAAATAATTGACCAGAAAACCGGCGTAATATTTGGGTTATGGAGTGAACACCTTAATATTATATATTATTAATATAGTGAGTGAACCCCTAATTAATATAATATTAATATTAATGTCTCAAGTGAGTAAGTCATCACACATGAGCTGTCGTATCAAGTGTATAAAGCAGCAACGCTAGTAAATTACACTTGTCGTTAATTAAAGATCTTGTATTTCTAATTTAAATTCTATGATTAATGATTAATTAATGTATAGTATATGTTTAGTTAAGCTAATATGCTAAGGCTTAATATAAAATTAGCTACGTAACTAAAAAGGACTCGGTTTATTGCGACTTTATGATGTATGATTAACATGGGATTATGAAGCTAATTAGATTCAATTATATTGCATGTTATGCATTATGTTGTATTATGAGGCAATCATGAACATTTTGTTTGGTTAGAATGAAAGAAAGTGGAAAGAGATGGAGGAGAATTTTATAACGAAAAAGAAATAATTAAGATTTGATAAGAAAAAGAGGCCGGTGGCTTTACAAAATCTATGAACTTAAGTTAATCAAAAAGCTATTTTATTTTTTCCTCAAAAAAAAAAAAAAAAAAAAAAAAAACAAAAGCTATTTTATTTCCTTCTAGAAATACCCCACCTTTTTTTTTAATTATAGAGATTTTCCACCATTCATATGTAAATATAAAAATAATATGTAAATATAATCATATAATATATTGTTGAATTTATCATAATGTCTACTATAAAAAATTATTTTTTTCATAATTCTTACTAATCTCTCATTAAAATATTAATGATTAAAGTTGTGTTTAGAAAAATGTACAAATTTGACTCTAGGAGTTTTAGTCTAACTAAATATAAAGTTAAAAAAATTTCACTTCATAGCTTAAATTTGTCAACTGGTTAGACAAACTCACTTCATATTAATCTAGTTAGAAAAATATAATGGGAAGTTCAATTTTAAAACCAGTTGACAAATTTCACTTTGTAGCTTACATATGAAGTGAGTTTGTCTAACTAGAAAAATTTGTCAACTGGTTTTAAAATTGAACTTCACATTATGCTTTTTAGTGAGTTTCACTCCCTTTTACCTTGTACATTTGCATGCTAAATTGTTATAACATTAAACCAGTGTTCTAGCAAGATTTAGTTACATTGTTCGCACATCTGATAGATGACATATGTGTTAAGACTTATGCCGATAAGACTCGTGGAGCTAATTCTTGCTTTAATTTCCATATGTTCGAGTAAAAAACAAATGTAATTTTGTGTGCACTTCAACAATACATATCACTAACACAATCTAGCCATTGAGGTAAACGTTCGTTGTTGGAAGATTATTAAGAGAAGTTCGGAGTAACTAGATCTACTTATCTTTTAGTTTATATAGAAACTTTTGTAAATACTTGATTGGTCAATAATAATCGTTAGAAATGAACGAATTCTAGTGAAAAAAAAGGAAAGAAACTATGAGAGCTTAAATCTACTAACATTATCGCTCTAGTAAGTATATTCACATTGACATTATGCAAAGTTAATTAAGTGTTCAACTTCAACTCAAACTTATTTATTTAGTTATTTGGGTGCATTGACTTTTCTTTGATATAGTATAAATGTGTACAATTATCATTTTTTGCCTTATAAATTAATAAATCTATGATCATTGACTTTATTTATATCCTTAAAATACACTAATCGAAGGTCAATTTAAACTTAAAGTAGACACACATTTTGTATAATTCACACATGAGATACATTAATCATAGCAAATTATTAGGCATTTGAGTGGACTTGAGAAAACGAGCTTCATTAAAATTAATTAAAAGTGAGACAACATGGCCGACTTGTTTGTTTAAGTAATGAATCAACTTAGATTTAAGTGCAACTTAAAGAGTTGGTACGGATTATATTGGTAAAAGTACTTTATAATTATAGTTAATTTTAACCCAAAGTAAGTGTTTATTTCTTAATTTATGTTTTACTTTATATAGACACTTTCAATTTTTGTAAAATTCTACTTTCATAGTTATATATTCATCTTTCTTTCTTCTTTATTTATTTATTTATTTATTTATTTATTTATTTTAAGATTTTATATTTGTGATATTGATGTATTGTGATATATTATTGGACGTTGTTTTCAAATATAGTTAGTAAATACAACCAATTAGAATGATTTATTTCATATATTTGTGTATGGTATGAATTGAATGGACTTTGTTAAACTCAAGTCGTAGTTACATTGCTGTCACACTTCTTGGCCCCTCTATTAAAATATTTAATGTGGAGTACGAAATGAAATAAACATTGTTTTCATACTACTTAAGACTTAACCACCAAATTATTGGTCACTTTATATTGAAGTAAGTATGTAATATTGTATTAAAGTTGCACATATATGACCATACTTGACATCACAAAACATGTAATAACGAAGGACTAGGGAATTGTTTTCTGATTTTCACTAATTTGAGTGTACAAAAAAAAAAAAAAAGTATTTAACCTTAATTTTATTAAATAAAAAAAAAGTATTTAACCTTAATTACTATTCAAAAATAAAGAAAGTATTTAACCTTAATAAAGCTTATTTTAGCTTTAAATGGAGATTAGACAACCCTTTTTAACATTTATTAGAACTTATGTTAACTTCTTTTTTAAAAATAGTAGAAATTGTTTTGTTAGAACTTATGTTAACATTTTTTTGCTCCGTGGTTTTCAATAAAAAAAAAAATAGAAATTGTTTTACCTAAAATTTTATGTGAACTTATTAATAGCTCTTATTTAAATTAAATTTTCTTTCAATAATTGAAAATAAGTTGAAAAATATAGCTTGATAACAATATACTATCTAATTTAAATTTAATAGTCATATGTTTTGGAAGATTTTAAATAAATTTTTGACTCTGTTTTATGAAAATCATGACAAATGCAACTTGGAGTAATAATATGGATCTTTCTAACGAACGCCCCCAGGGCGTTGGATAAGCATTTAAAGTATTACCTAAAGTGGTATTAAATTGGGAAAGAATGACAAAATCACGCGTCAATCGGTGTAATTAATGTTAATTTTTACTTTAATCTTACTATTTTTAGCTAATTTATGCAATGCTCCGGGGGCGTTAGTTAGCATTTGCCTAATAATATAACTCATAATAGGAATAATCTAAATTGGTCTACACTAGAAAAATGGAATGGATCAAGAGAATTGATTTGATGTTTAGTTTTCCGACCACAGTATGGTCTTCCTTGGTCAAATACTCTTCTTAGTAAGGTTTTTTTAGATTTTAACACCTGCTAAAAAACACGAAAATGGTTTTTTAACACCTCAAAACAAAAAAAAAGGGGTTTAAAACCATACAAATTTCCAAAAAATTGGTATTACCACCACTTAACGGTTTCCGTTAAAAAATTCCGTTAAATGTGGTCCACAGTAACACGTGTCACTATTTTATTTGTTTTAAAAAAAATAAAAATAAAATAAAAATAAAAAAAATAAAAAACCTAAAACTACCCAATTTTTAAAATTTTTATTTTTGTTTTTTAATTTATTATTATTTTTTTTTATTTTTTGGCCAATAACAAAGCGACACGTGTCTATATGCCCTACTTAACGGATTTGTAAACGGAATCAGTTACGTGGTGGTAATACCCAATTTTTTGAAATTTGGGTGGTTTTAAAATCAATTTTTTTTTTGGAGGTGTTAAAAACCATTTTCGGGTTTTTAGCAGGTGTTAAAATCTAAAATAACCTCTTAGTAATTAATCTTATATCACACTTTTATTTTTTTTTTGAAAAATCATTAATAAAAACCTATTAAATGATTTTTCTCCTTAAATATGTTTAATTTTTATTTTTTTTTCTTGTTCTTTTATATTCTGCCTTTAAAATTGATATTAACAATTGTTTCTGTGTCGGTGTTTTTTTTTCTTAATATTTTCCATATTATTATAGTAAAATTCATATATAAATTAAAAATATTTCTATATTGAGGAAAATAGGATATATTTTCCAAATATTCTATGAAATCTTTTGGATAGCATATTTTTGGTAGTTAGTTATTATCTTTTGATTCTTTCCTAATTCTATCTTGATTGGGATTGATATAGCTTGTATTTATATGGTTCAACGGTGAAAATAATACTCAAGCTTTTCTGTTTCATCAATTCTTCATGGTATAAGAGCCAGTTATTTTTTTTTTCATAACATTCAGCTATGGCGGGTGATGAATCTCCACCACCTCCGCCACCACCTAAAATCGAAACAAATTCACCGTTTTATCTAGGAGCGCATGATAGGCCTGGCGATTTTATAACTCCGATTCGCTTAAAGTTAGACAATTTTGATGCCTGGTCTCATGCGATCTATGTTGCGTTGTCTTCTAGACGAAAATTTGGCTTTTTGGACGGCACTATCACCGACTGTATACCACCTGCAATCAAGGAGGACTGGGTTGTAATACACTGTATGTTGGTCTCGTGGCTTATGAACACTATCGATCCGGAGGTAAAATCTTTGCTTTCTAATTATGATAATGCAAAACGTTTGTGGGATGATTTGCATGAAAGATTTTGTGTGATTAATGGTCCCCGTATTCAAAATTTAAAGGCTCAAATTAATAAGTGTGAACAACCTAAGAATATGACAGTGGTTGTTTACTTTGGGAAATTAAATGTTTTGTGGGATGAACTTGCTAAATTGGAACCTTTAATTAATTGCAAGTGTGGGCAGTGTTCTTGTAATGTGGGTAGGCCCCATGAAAAAAGGCGTGAAGATGATAGGCTTCAACAATTTTTTTTAGGCCTGTGTTCCGAGTATTACGCTCAAACTAGGTCTAACATATTAGCACAAGACCCACTGCCTACTTTGAATAAGGCTCACCAACAAAGTTTCTCAAGATGAACTTGTGAGAGGCCTTGATCGTGTTCGTGAGGAACCAGTTCAAGCAGCAGGTTTTGCTGTTCGTACAGGTCAGCCTTGTGGGCGTGAGGGGGCTGATCGTGGTGCTAGTGGATCGGTGTGTGCTAAGTGTAAAAAAGGGGGTCATGAGACTTCGCGGTGTTGGTCCGATAAAGTATGTAACCATTGCAAGAAACGGGGACACATAGAGAGCAAGTGTTTTGATTTACATGGTTATCCGTCTAGCACGGGTGACGGCAGCCGGGGGGGTCTCTCTCGGCTGGGCGTGGTCAGGGCTCGGTGCGTGCCAATGCAGTCTTGGGTTTGGCCGCATCTTCTCCTGGACAGGTGTTTTCAAGTGAGCAATGGAAGGCCATCACAGGGTTGTTTGGTAATGTCAATGTTTTTGAAAATCATTTGAGTGGTAAGTTTGATGTTACTTCATGGATTATTGATACCGGTGCCACTCATCATGTTACCGGAGATGCCTCTTGGTTGTTTGATACAAGACCTTTTGAGTGTCCCGTTGGTTTACCTAACGGGGACACTGTGGTTGCTTCTTTAATTGGTTCTGTTCGTTTATCGGACAAACTTACTCTCACCGGGGTGCTTTATGTCCCTAATTTGAGTTGTAGCTTGCTTTCCGTTTCTCAACTTGCTAAGGATCTTAATTGTACTGTCTATTTTAACCCTTATATGTGTGCTATACAGGACCAAGCGAAGGAGCTGATTGGAACGGGAGCTAGGAGGGACGGACTATATTATTTTAGCAATTCGGACTCGGTGCATCATGTTGGCGTTGTTGGAGCAATCTCAAATTTGAAGTTGTGGCATCGTCGAATGGGGCATCCTTCCGAGAAAGTAGTTAAGTTACTTCCTCATGTTAGTAGCAATAAAGATTGTTTAGTTAAGGGGTGTGAAGTATGTATGCGTGCTAAGCATCCTCGAAATAAATTTCCTCTAAGTGATAGTAGAGCTTCTAGGATTTTTTGAGAAAATACATTGTGATTTGTGGGGTTCATATCGACAACATTCGTCGTGTGGAGCTCGTTATTTTCTTACTATTGTTGATGATTATTCTCGAGCAGTTTGGATTTATTTGTTGGTTGATAAAACTGAGGTTCTACGTATGTTTTTGTCGTTTGTTTCAATGGTTGATAGACAATTTTCCCAGACTATTAAAATTGTGCAAAGTGACAATGGTACTGAATTCAATTGTTTGTTTGATTATTTTCGTACCACTGGAATTATTTTTCAAACATCTTGTATGGGTACCCCTCAACAAAATGGAAGAGTTGAGCGTAAACACAAACACATTCTTGAAGTTGGGAGAGCTTTGAGGTTTCAAGCAAATTTTCCTATCTATTTTTGGGGTGAGTGTGTTCTTGCCGCAGCCCGCCTAATTAACCGTACTCCTACTCCATTGCTACACAATAAAACACCTTTTGAATTGTTGTTTGATAAACCTCCGGTTTTTGATGCCATTCGTACTTTTGGTTGTCTTTGTTTTGCTCATAACCAAAAGACAAAGGGAGACAAATTTGCAAGCAGAAGTAGAAAATGTATTTTTGTGGGATATCCGTTTGGCAAAAAGGGGTGGAATTTGTATGATCTTGAGTCCAAAGAATTTTTTATCTCCCGAGATGTGAGGTTTGTAGAGGATGTTTTTCCGTATGGTACCCCGGAGGATGTGAATATTGTGTCCCATGATGATTTTAATAGAGTTGTGGATGATGATTTCCGAGAGTGTGAATTTTTGGATGATAATCAGGGGGATGTACTTGTTGAAACTGCTGGTGGAAATATTAATTTTCAGGCAGCCACGAGCGTAGAGCACGCAGCTCCTCATTCGCAGCCACCTGCGGGCGCAGGAAATCCCGCGGCTGGGCAGACTGCTCTTCAAGAGCCTGTCCCAACCGCAGGTAATCCCTCGGAAGAGGGATCTGTCACAGAGCAGCAGCAGCCCAGCACAGTCGAGCCTACTGCTGCTGGGTCTGCCGTGCCGCACACTAGCAGCCCCGATGTGACCGAGCAACCCCAACCCGACTCTCCTGAGCCGCCACAAACGGAGGCGTTGGGTAGGGGTTTTCGAGAGAAAATTCCATCTGTAAAGCTTCGAGATTATGTCACTCATTCCGTCGTTGCTAATAGTCCGTCTCCGTCCACTCCGTCCTCCAACACTCCTTCAGGTACTCCTTATCCTTTAGCACATTATATAAATTGTGACAAATTTTCTGTAAATTATCGCAAGTTTCTTGCAGCCATTGTTCATGATAAAGAACCAAAATCTTTCAAAGAGGCTATGAGATATGAAGGTTGGAGGCAATCCATGAAAGAAGAGATAAAAGCTTTAGAAGATAATGGCACATGGACTTTAGAGCACCTTCCCCCAGGCAAGAAAGCTGAAGGTGCTCTAGGAAGTCAATGGGTTTATAAGACAAAATTTTTGTCTAATGGTGATGCTGAGAGACTCAAGTCTCGCTTAGTTGTGTTTGGCAATCATCAGCAGGAAGGTATAGATTATGGTGAAACTTTTGCTCCTATGGCTAAGATGACTACTATTCGAGCTTTTCTTGCAATAGCGGCCTCTAAGAATTGGAATCTCCATCAGATGGATGTCCACAATGCCTTCTTACATGGTGACCTCGATGAGGAGGTGTACATGAAATTGTCCCCCGGCTTTGAGAGTTCTGATCTGTTAGTGGTGTGCCGCTTGAGAAAGTCATTATACGGGTTGAAACAGGCTCCGCGATGTTGGTTTGCGAAGCTAACGTCAGCTTTGAAAGGGTATGGTTTTCTTCAATCCTACTCCGACTATTCTCTTTTCACATATACTAGAGGCAAAATCCAGATTAATGTCTTGGTATACGTGGATGATCTTATTATTTCTGGGAACGATTCCGCTGCATTGTCTGTGTTTAAGACTTACCTTGGTGACTATTTCAAAATGAAGGACCTTGGTCCTTTAAAGTATTTTTTGGGTATAGAAGTGGCTCGTAGTTCATCTGGTTTGTTTTTGTGCCAACAAAAATATACGTTGGACATTATTTCTGAAGCAGGTATGTTGGGGGCAAAGCCGAGTGGTTTTCCTATTCCTCAAAACCATAAGCTAGGCCTTGCTACTGGTGAGTTGCTCGCAGACCCAGGGTCATATCGAAGATTAGTCGGGCGTTTAATATATCTTTCGATTACACGACCAGAATTGGCTTATTCGGTGCATGTTTTATCTCAATTTATGCAGGAACCGCGTTCTGAGCACTGGGAAGCGGCCTTGCGTGTGGTTCGATATTTGAAGGGTAGCCTTGGCAGGGAATCTTGTTAAGTGCAACTAGCGATCTAACTTTGCAGGGTTGGTGTGATTCAGATTGGGAAGCGTGTCCTCTTACTCGTCGTTCTTTGACAGGTTGGCTTGTTTTTCTTGGTCACTCTCCTATCACTTGAAAAACCAAGAAACAACCTACGGTGGCTACTTCTTCGTCTGAGGCCGAATATCGGTCAATGTGTTCTGCTACTTTGGAGCTGAAATGGTTAAAAGCTTTGTTATTGAGTATGGGGATTCAACATCCTCAGGCGATCAAGTTATTTTGTGACAGTCAATTGGCCCTTCATATTGCTAAAAATCCAGTTTTTCATGAACGCACTAAGCATATTGAGGTCGATTGTCACTTTGTTCGGGATGCAATCAATGAGGGGTTAATATCTCTATCATATGTTCCTACTTCTTTCCAGTTAGCAGATATCTTCACCAAGGGACTTGGGAAGTCACAGTTTGATTTTCTTCTTTCCAAGTTGGGCATCTATGATCCTAGTGCTCCAACTTGAGGGGGGGTATTGAGGAAAATAGGATATATTTTCCAAATATTCTATGAAATCTTTTGGATAGCATATTTTTGGTAGTTAGTTATTATCTTTTGATTCTTTCCTAAGGGATTGATATAGCTTGTATTATATATATGGTTCAACGGTGAAAATAATACTCAAGCTTTTCTGTTTCATCAATTCTTCATTCTAGAATTGTTTAAAATCGACTTGATTTTTGGACTGCACTTCATTAGCCTGATTTGGTATCAGTCCTAGCACATATATATAACAAGATAGCATGTAATATAATGCACAAAAGATATACAGTCAAATGAAAAGTATGAATAGTATAAAAAGTTAATGCATGTGTGGGTCTAGATTAAATAAAATAGATGAAATATTTAATTATAAATTTCAACAATTAACCATTAATCAAAAACACTACAGTGAATCATAGACCTTAATGTAAATTACTTCATTGGATTAAATTTAGCTACAACAAATTTCAAACTCCATGATGTTGCATCTCAATAAACACTTACACAACTCGTGTATAGAATTACAAGCACCATATAAATTACTACCTTCTATTTATAGCTTTGTAATAATTTGAAAATTTTATAAATAAACCTTTAATTGGTAAAAACCCAAAGTTGTTGACAGTTTGTTAATGATAAGAGGAAGTGGAGAAGTGGCACTACTTAAAATAAACAAAACAAAAAACAAAAATAGTTCAAAATTGATTGAGAAAAAAGTAGGAGAAGCGCAAAATCCGTGGGGTTCCAGGCTTGCACTCTAAACTTCCAGACGAGAAGTCGTTGAGGAGAAGTAATGGGTTTGCTTGAAAGCCAACCGAATCTCACTCCCTTTCCTCCCCTCCTCACACTTACCATTTCTTCTTCTTTCTCTCTCCAAATTTCCAACTGTACTCTCTTTCTTCATTATTATATTCTATATACTACGCCGTCTATTTTTATATAAATACTTCTCCTGTCCTAAGCTTCTTATATTATTCTCTCCAAGTGTCTGGACTCGATCTAGATTGAATCCTGTCTACATCATTAATTATTCTCTCCCAAGGCGAGAAAGAAAAGAAAAGAAAAATATTCTATTTTGGAGTATAAACTTACATCATAAATTCACGGTTATTGATCAGTTCACATTATAATCCTCAAAACAAAAACAAAACGCCTTTTGCACCCTACCCTTTTTCTTTCCTTTGGTTTCTCTACTTATAGCCTAACTCGCCTCTTCTTCTAACCATTAATTCACTTACTCTTTTCTCTTTCAATTTTTTTTCCTTCTCTCTCTAAAATAAGCCCATCATTTTCTCTACAATTATTCTACTTCTTTGGATTGATTGAAATTGGTGGCGGAGAATTGAACAAACTTTGTTGATTACTAATTAAGTGGAGCATGGTTGCCCATCAACAAGAAGCCATTGTTGGAGACAACAACGTCGTCGTCGTCGGTGAGAAGGATAACATGATCAATAATCATACAAACAATATGATGATGATGATTAAGGGTAAGAGGACTAAGCGGCCGAGGCCGTTGTCTCCTTTAGCCTTGACCATGTCTTCAGCCACCACCACCGACGAAGGAGGTGCTAATTCTGCTACGTCCGAGGAGTGGGCGGCTCCTGTTTCCGCCCCTTCGTCTGAGGAGGAAGAAGACATGGCTCATTGCTTGATCCTTCTCGCTCAAGGGTCCAACAACAATAATAATACAAGCACCAACCATAAGAGTAACAATGGAATTACGACGTCATCTTACGAATGCAAGACATGTAACAAAACATTTTCCTCATTTCAAGCACTAGGAGGTCATAGAGCTAGCCACAAAAAGCCTAAAACGAGTAACGTAGTCGCGTTATCCGAGCTCAAGAAATCCTCCTCCGTTATTTTCTCCCTTATAAACAACGACGACAACCACCACCACCACCACGGCCTCAAGCAATACGATCACCACTTCAACGACGATGGCACGACACTCTCGTTACAAATTGCCAACTCTTCCCTTGGTACAAGTAGTACTAATAATAATACTAATACTAATAAAGCGAAGGTGCACGAATGTGGCATATGTGGCGCGGAGTTCTCCTCAGGACAAGCCTTAGGTGGTCACATGAGACGGCACAGGCCAATTGGAACGACATCAACGACAACCATCCCTAGCCCGTCAAGAAGCGTTACACTAGCCAATAGCAATGTCAAGGATGAGAAGATGACGCGAAATCTCTTGTCCTTAGACCTTAACCTTCCGGCTCCAGAAGACGAACACCACCACCACCACCAACACCAACAAAGGGAATCATCCTCGAAGTTCGTGTTCTCGTCTAATGAGAAAACATTGGTGTTCACCGCCGCTTCGCAGCTGGTGGATTGTCATTATTGATCATTATTGGAAACTAAGGGAAATCTTACTTTAGCCAGACAATTTTTTTTTAACTTTTTTATATTATACTTGTGAATTCATTAGATACACACAATTCAATTGTTCTTAATTCAACATTATAATTGTTCATTGATCAACTCATTATGATTCTTTGTATTTATTCAAATTGCTGACATTATATGAAAAAAAAAGTTCATTCTTTTGTATCAATTTCGATCTTGAAATTTGGTAAAACAAACCAAAAAAGTGGCATAAATGTTTATATTCCTTATTTATTCTGTAAGCAATGTGTAGGAAGCAAGTACAAGCAAATTAGTTGTTGTTTTTTTTTTTTTTGCTTTGTTTTTAGTTTCCTTTATGTTTTATCTTTAGAAGTGAATAAGTGAACTAGCAAATTTTAGTTGTCAAGTTATTAGACTATAATACGTTGTTATTACTCATAATGTACAAGATTTATTCGGCTATGCAACTCATTATCATTTGTAAACTATCTGTATTAATATTAGAATTTTAAGTCACATTATGTAACTCATTTTAATTAATTATACTTCTTTTTTTTGTTTACATTTAAGTAATACGTAATACACTAAGCTACATCATTTTAGTCTTGTACGTGTTGACAAACAAAATTAGATTATATTTAAAAAGAAAACACTAATGTTCACATGATTATATGTCATCTAATTAAATCACTTCAATGCATGAGTTTTGCAAATTGAATTGAAAATCTAATTAGTACGTTTTCAAAATTTAGGGTTAATTTTCAACATTTTGTGATACGGAGTAGCATATAAGAGTACGCAAAAAAATAATTGTTTTAGGGAAAAAACATCCTTAATTTTTTTATTACCACAACAAAACCACAACAAAAGTCCTCTTATCACACCCTTAAGAAAGAGATTACAGAAATTACAAACAAAATAATTTAACATCAATAAGAGGAAATGTCTTTTTTTTTTAGTTTTTAAGTTTATCTTCGTGAATTTCTCGGTTATTAGTATCAAGGAGATATGTTGTGTATTAAAAACCAATGATTTAACTAATTAAGTACAATTTATTAACAAAGAGCAACAACAAAGGGTGATGACAAAGCTAAATATAGTAAATTAGTAATTAAGAGGTTTTAATCGTAAACTTTTATAGTTGAAATGTATGTGATGTCACAATGACTAAGAAAGGATAAGATTATTCAAGGTCAATGAACAAAGTAAGTTTAGTCTTTTTCAACAATAGCGAGACGAGTTAATGATATCTTATGCACCTAAATTACGGCCAAAAAATAAATAAATAGAAAAAAAAAAAAACAGAAAATCTATCAACAATAGCAAAGATTACGTTCACAAGTTCCACCACCATATCATCTTACATCTCCGAGCATCATCAATTCATCACCTTCTAACTTCTAATTTGCAGCACAAAACAACTCTTTATAAATATATATACATATACAACAAAAATGTAGTTATAAACAAACGTTGTAAAAATATTATTCAAAATAGTGCATGTGTTATGAAATATTTGTGGATATCCATTATACTCCTTTGTATCATTCCGGAATAATCTAGATCTAGGGTTTATATTCTTATCCAATCAAACCCTAATATATTGTATGTATATATACACCTTATCATATGGAATACTATACACAGATATATTCTCTATCAATCTCTCTTATATTTCTCTTTATTTTACAACACGTTATCAGCACCAAAGCTCTAATCAATATGTAAATTTTATTGCTCTAATCAATATGTAAATTTTATTGTTGATTTCTTAGGTTAATGATTAATTCGTTGTATATTGAATGTGCTAAATTATACTCATTATTATCTTGTTGTGTCGCATCTTGGGAAGAAATTAGAAGGAGATTAATCTTGATCATGGGTTTTGATCTTCTAATAATGAAATCACACGTTTCAAGAATGTCATATCATTCCCAATCCTCATTAATCAATTTGGGACTAGTACAAGGAGTCTCACGGTATTAATAATTTGGTTACAAAGAACTACTCGTATTATTTTTCGATTGCATTGGTTTGTTTATCTTGAATCATCTTTCTCATCTATCCATAATAATAGATTAGCCTTAATCAAGGGCTATACTTTATTTTCTTTTCATTGACGTTTTCATGAGTTACATGCTAGCAGATGACGCTGATAACATGAAGTTGACGATAAGGCTGTTTTTTATAGTGGGAAAGGTTTTGATATCAGGAAAGTTCATTCTCAACTATCCTGTTATTGTTAATTTTAAACCTTTACCTAATATGTTTATATTGTTTCCCAAATTTTCGTATTTTTATTATTCCTGAAGTTCAATGAGCAATTTGGGAATACTTGAATTTGATGCAGAATAACTAATTAGTAGTTTTGTTTTGACTATGAGTTTTGTTTAGTTTGAATCTAAAAGGGTATTTAAAATTATTATTGGGGTTAATTTTATGAACGTATGGTTTTCATGAAATTGTATTACATATATTTGCTAGATTTTGATATTATTTTTCCTATCCGTAAATGAGTTTGGTTATTTCTTTATGCTTCATAGCAAATATGAATGGTTTGATTTAGCAATTATTTACTCATATAATTTGTTTGTGAAATCCTATGTCTAATGCCTTGAATGTCTGTAAATTGTACGAAGTAAGCCTAAGGTACATGTGAAACTATTTATAATTTATGTATTGAATTATGTTTTTATATTTCAAGTATGATATGAAACATGTGGTTTTCCACTAACGTGAACATGTTAAGTTTGGTTGCTTATGTGCTTGTTTTTATTTTCTAATTAAGCTTTATCAGGCAATATATTGATATAATTGACCCGACAGTATAGTTGATTCAATCAATTCAGGTATGTTTTTATTAAAGCGTGAAGTAGTAGGTTTTCATATTTTTACCTTCTCATTCAATTATAGTATTATGTACCTACTTGAAGTTTGATTATTGGAATAAATGTAAATTGAATACGATGTGCGGACCTGAAGTTCCTTATATTTATAAAGAGTATTCACACTAGCTTGAACATATAAATGGCTCAAAACCCTTAAGGATAATACAAAGAAATGTGCATGATCTACAAAGCTAAAGCATATTGCTTAGATATAACATAGTTAGTGTTAATTTTTGGCAAGGACATATCCATATTGACTATTGAGGGTGAGGGATAGCTCAGGTGGTTAGAGTTACTCTACCTCTTGCTTCTAGGTGATTTTGGGATTGATTCTCAATCACTGACCCTTGTTCTCTAAACATTAAAAAATGTATCTCGTGTATTAACATAAATACATTTTAGTTTTGATATATAGGTTCTATCTACATTAAATCAATTATCTAAATACTTTGTGAATTTTAGAAGATTTTCCTATTTTAATTATATTGATGAACACCTAAGTAATAAAATTTCACTTCTAAAGTCCTTAATGAAAGATTTTAATTTTCAATATCATCCATCTCTACTGAATAGGTTTTATCCTCAATTTAAGCTCAAATGACTCATACGTATGTGAGGAAGTGCAATAGAGTATAAATCCAATTCTAGGGTTTTAACCATAAGATTAATCTTTTAGATGAATTGATCCTCTGATATTGTGCGTTCTAGATTTGATAATTGATATAGTATATATATCGATTTTGGGGTTCAAACCACACTATACTCTATTTTTGTTTAGTCTACACACTAAATTTAAAATTTGTAATATGTACCCTTAAGATCAATAAAATTTTCCTCTCGCATATATTACAAAGTCATTGTTAGTGAATCACGTTAGTCTACATTCTCAAGTTTGTCGATTATGCTTATCAGGGCCGTTTATGAGTTTTTAGGGGCCTAAGGGCAAACTAATAATTAGGGGCCCATATAAATTTGGGTGTTTGCGCAATATATATACTTAATAGACATTAAATTTCTTAAAAACTAAGTAGTGGAGTATTCATTAAAGTGCAAATATGCTACAGTCTAAATTAAAAAATTTATCTATAAATTCATTAATTAAAAAAAAAACCCTGAATAAAGTAGCAAAAAACAAAAGTCATGCGGATGGGGCTTGGGAGTATCATATATGTACCTTGGATATACTCAAAATGAATAATATTATTATATTTTTATAAGATTTATTTGATATATTAGACCCTATTCGTCTCAGATTATATTGCATGTATTCTATGTTTGGTGTTTTAAAATATTGTAAACGTCCTAGTTTTATTTTACTCATTTTATAATATTTCCTTCGTTTTGTAAGTGCCTCAAATTATTTTTGTACAATACCATGTGAAACGGGAGAGTAGTAAAAAGAAAATTGAAAGGCGATTTTAAAAATGAAACTAATAAAACTCAAAAAATGAGGGGGAAATTACAACATATACAAAAACAAAACAAGTAAAAATAAGGAAAATTATATGCTCTTGTAAAATTTCCAAAAAAAAAGAAAAAAAAAAAAGAAAAGCTATTGGTTAAAATAGAAAGAAGGGAAGTAAAAAAGAAAACTGAAACAAAAACATAAGTGTTAGGTCTGGAACCCCAAAATAAGGGGCTAATTAAATCCCATTATAACAATTTGCTTTGACCACTAAGCTAGCTTGTTCACTCCTCAAACGTTTAAGGTGATTAATTATTTTTGCGTAAATTATTTTCCTGAAACAGAGATTGTGATTTGGGGGCCCTGGCCGACCCCCCCGGCTGCCCTGGCCCAGCGACGACACTGATGCTTATGTATCTTCATCCATCATTACGTACACAATATTATGTAAACGTGGTGATCCTTGTATATAGATATTATTACAAAATCATATTTGGATGACATGTTAGTATTTTAAATTAATCACATAATAAATTGCATAATATAGACTTGAGAGTGGGGAGAATATGTACATCTAATTCTAGTAAATCTTAACAACATAAAATATTTATATAAATATAAAAGTTAAAATTAATGTTGGTTGAGAGTGGGGAGAATAGGTTGGGTTAGAGTTGGTTATAGAATAACAGCAAAGAGAATTAGATAGATACCAAAAGTGATGGTGTGGTACGAATTAGGTTCTGTATTCACGTCTTTTTGTTCGTTTGAGTGACGGAAAAGTTGCACCCTTTGCTTTCTTATGTCTACTTCTTTCTTTCATCAACCTACTATAAAAAGAAATTAATAATTCAAAAGCTTTTTTCTAGGCAACTTTTAGATTTTAATCCAAGGATTTTAATAAAAAATATTAAAGGACTAAGTTATAATTAGCTCATGATTAGTTGTGCCTAGTACCTTCTTAAGGATTTCATCCAAGGAATTAATGCACTCCCACGTGCTATTATTCTCTTCCTATTCATTTTTATGATTCATTCTTTATTTTATTATTATTTTTTTTTTTTGACACTTCTTTATTTTATTATCTTTCTTTTAGATCTCACTCTTTGTTCGATGTTGATATGCTAATAAGAGACAACATAGCAAAATTTTAATTATGTTTTGT